TTTACGGTTTATGTTTACGGTTTATGTTTACGGTTTATGTACTTTTTTTCGATCTTTTCGAGACGGAAATTGTTTATTAGTAAGGTTAATGTTATTATTAATTAGTTTTTAGTAGCTAATATTTATAAAATACGCTTTAATGCTTGTTTAAAAAAATCGTTTATTTGATAATTTTTATCTATTAAAAAATATAAAATAAAAATTGATATAAAAGTATCAATAATATTATGAAATATATTACAATAACTGTATATGTAAGTAATTTATTAGTTAACCTAGAGATATATAAAGTAGAGTAATATAGTTATTGTTAGTTGTTAGTTAATTTTGTGGCGAGCTTTGTAACTTTTTAATAAAAATTTATTTTCGTGGCTGCACTTTTAATTTCAAAATACTTTCATTTAGTAGTTTCTCAGGTTTTGGATTCAATATAATTGAAAATTTCTCATATAGACATAGTGGGTAACTTTAGGAAAAATTCGAGCAGGGGAGTACAGGTTTCAAAATAGACCATGATAATAAAGGTTTTTTTTTTCAAATCCGAGACGTAACTTGATAGGTTGAAGAACTTTTTGTATTTAACATTAATGAATGATTTGTGATTGTTATATTTGGTTTTCCATTCACTTTCCGTTAATTTTCAGCTGAAGATGGTGAATTTGTTTGATGAGGGGTTGAACCATTTGATATTGCTTGATCTGGTTTTTAAATGAACAGTTTTTGTATCCGCTATTTTTTAGTGTTCATGTTTTTGGGTTGCTTAACTATAACTTGGTTTGAGGAATTTTGCATAAAAACATTATAGTTGGATGTATATACCGATCACCAAATTTTGCGTAAATAATTATAGTTGGATGTACCACTAAGTGGTAAAGTTAGACCATTTCAAGACTTTATCGAAAATAGTATTTTAAAAATAAACCTTCAAAGAAAAAAATTATATTCCCGGTAATACAAATTTGAACGCTCTAACATATCACAAATCTCTTACAACAAAATATTTTTTTGACATGTTATTTAAATACATTTAAGATTGATATAAGTGATCATTTCCAGATATATATTATTATAAAAAATATTGCAGCTATTTCGGAGGATCAACCTAAAATTTTAAGCTTAAAAAAATGTAACCCTTCACCTGTTAATAAAATTGGAGTGACGTTTATAAAAGTTAAAATGCAAACGAAGCGTGTAATTTATTTTTAAACAATTTTCAAGAGGTTTTCAATAAAGAGTGTCCAAATGAAGTAATAAAAATAAAAAACAAAAACACTTGCTAATCCATGGATAAATAAAAAACTTATAAAATGCTCTAAAACCAAACAAAATTTATACAATAAATTTCTATAAATTAAAACACAGTTAATGAAAAAAAATATGAAACATATAAATACTTTTATATCAATCTTAAAAAAACTAAAAAAAAATATAACAGCAAACAAATTACTAATTGTGGGCGATGGTAATTTTACGAAGATGGGGGGGGGGGGGGAGGGAGGGAGGAGTGTATAGGGATGTGGGAGTGTTACGCCCCCGCAAAGAAGGTGATTTTCAAACTATAATTGGTTTTTTTACTAATTTAGTCGGCTAGGCAGATATTTGACACAGTTCAGTCGGTTAAATTTTCGTTTTGAGGACCTTTTTTTTGACGCTAGCCGGTACTTTTTGAGGATTCACCCCCCCCTCCTCCTTCCTTCATTTTATTTGTAGAATTGCTCTGATTGTGATACTAAAAAAAAATGGTCAGTAATAAACGATTTAATAGGAAAAAATAAAAATAAAACTTTTTTGCTACCAAAAGAATCAATATCAAAAATACTGATATATTATGCCTGTACTAATATCTGAGAAGTTTAATAAATATTTTACAAATGTAGGACTTGATCTTGTTAATAAAATTATACCAACCTTGTCACCAACATTTAATTCTTTTAAAAACTAAATTTTAAAAATCTAAAACCATCAGACGGCAAATTTTTGCATGGTTTTGATTAAACATTAAAAGAATTTGAAGGCTTTTCCTTCTTTTAAAAAATAAATCACCGGGATTTGATGATATACCCAGTAACACACTTAGTGCAAATAAAAAATGTATTAGTAAACCGTTGTTTTATATAGTAAAATTTTCTTTAGATCAAGGGGTATTTCCTGATGTACTAAAATTAGCAAAAGTATTTCTAATTTATAAAAATGATGATCATTCTAACGTTTCCTACTACTTATATGAGTGCTTATATTAGTGCTTTCTGTGTTTTCGAAAATATTCGAACGAGTAATTTACAATAGAGTCTTTGATCATTTTACTAATAACAACTTTGCTTTAGGTATATTTATCGATCTCTCAAAAGCTTTTGACACTGTTGATCATTGTATTTTGTTAGAAAAGTTGAAACATTATGGAGTAACTAATAAGGTCTACTATTGGATTAAAAGTTACTTCAAGGATAGAAAACAATATGTTTTAAATCAAGTATACGGAATACTTAAAATCCCGTGTGGAGTACCGCACGGATTGATACTTGGTCGTCTCTTATTCTTGGTTTATGCAAATGACTTAAATAATTCCTCAGTATAGTTAAACCCAATTATGTTTGCAGATGATACAAAGCTATTTCTTTCGAACAATAGTATCAAACAACTTTATACAGACATGAATTCTGAATTAAATAAGATAAATGACTGGTTTATGGCGAATAGACTCTCATTATACGTTGAAAAAACAAAGTATACCTTATTTTATAAAAAGATGCAAAAAGAAAATCTTCCACTTAAATTACCAGACCTATTTTTAAACAGTTGTGGCTAGCGCAACGGTACCGTTGCTTTAATTTTTTATCTTAAAGTTACGGCAGTAAAGTTTGATTGGTTTATTTTGAATCATAGATGCGAATATTATTGGTTAATTTTGAAAGTTTTATTTGTACAAATTTAAAAAGAATTGTAACTCTACATTATGCGTTTAGTATTGTGGTATTTCATTGGTTCATCTTTTACGGAAATCCGGGATCAATTCCTTTACTTAGAAAAATATTTTAAAATGTTTTTTAACTATTTTTTTTGAAAGTTATCATTATTGTTGTATATTACATTGATAAGTTAAGTACATTGTTACATTGATTTTTACTATTTACATACATCGACTGAATTAGGGTTAGGCGGAGTGAGTGTACATACATCCACTGTGTATTAAAAAGTTTTAATGTGTATTGTGCAAACCGCCAAGTAAGACTCGAAGCAATTTTCATAATGGAATGCCTTAATTTCATCTGTAATTTTAACGCCGAATGACCTTCCAATTTCTGTTTGAATGCTACACCATTTGTTCTGATGTCGTAGACTCTGCTTGTCTACGACATCAGAATTGGATACAGAAAGCTTAAGATTTCAACATGCGTATGTTGAAATCTTAAGCTTTCTGTATCCATCGACTCATTTTCTTGTTACTTGAATTTTTATGTTGTTTAACCAAAGTCATGAAAGTTTGGTATTCGTCTCTTATCTTTTTGGCTATGTTTTATTGACACAGTGGATAGACGTTCTTTAATATCCAGTTGTCGGATAGTTCCTGCACTACTATTTTGTTTGCGTCATTAATAAGAAATTTTAGAACCAGGTCTCACTGAGCACAGGTGTATTATCCATCCTATTAAATGTTCACCACTTTTAACTTGGATTTACTGATGAACTTTGGTTCTCCTTGGTACACTACAACCGCAATTTTGGGAGTTACAATATCGCTTCTAGCTTTAGCTGAATTATCCATATTCTTTGGCATGGTGGATCGGTGTACGTCAAGACCTCGAATGAAAAATCAGCGTTAAAACAATAGGTTTTTATAAAAAAAATGAACGTACTATTGGTCAAGTAGGCACTTCATTTGGTCACGTAGCCTTAGTGGTCAAGTAAGTGCGTACAAAAGGGCACGTCTACCTTCGCAAATATTTACTAAGTATTAAAAATTTAATCAATATATAAAAGCAATACTTATGGACAGGAACACTTGTTTTTGATCTAAAAGGCTATTTAACCCACAAATTTCTGTAATTTTTAGATCCAGCACCCGTAAAAACATATAGAATGATATATTACACGCATATATTTGCGGAAAAATTGAATTCAGCGTCACATTTCGCCTTCGAAACAGCTCGATTTTGGAAAACTTTAAGATTTGACCCACCCTACTATAACAACCAAACACTTGAAAATTTTTTTTTAATGTATTGGAGATTGAATTTTTTTCTAATATATTGGAGATTGAAACTTTTAGTTTTGATTAATTAACAAAATTGTATAACACCTTGTAAACGTATAGTTTACAAGGTGTTATAAAATTTTGTTAGGGCGGAAGTTTTCCTTAAAAACAATTTAACAAAAAAGACATCTTCATCATAAATTTTAATCAAAACTTAGTTTAAAATGCTTGAAAGGTTTTCTTGGAAAAAAATATGTAACAGCTACCAAGCCTAATCTCAAAGTACCTTTTTCAACTTAAACTGTTGGGTATTTGTTTTAAGTTGTCTGCGAAATGTCTTCAGCCAGCTGTATTTATTGCAAAACGTTTTTGTGTAAAAAAGGTAACATTACAATCAAATATGTTAGGTAATATTACAATCAAACATTAAAGGTAAGAATACAATCAAATTTGTATAGTAACATTAGAACCAAACTTTTAAAGTATCATTACATTTAAACATGTACGGTAACATTCCATTGAAACATTTAATGTAACATTCAAATCAAGCATGTAAGATAACATTACAATTAAATATGTAATGAATATTTTTGAATAAACCAGTGAGTGTTTTAGAGAACTCAATGGTTTTGAGTGATTTAGAATACAATTAGTATTTCACCATGAATATATTTTCTTTTTTTAAAGTTTTCATGGAATATAAAAGCACCATTAAAAATATTTTTATATCTTTATTCCAAATCATGGCACTTTATCACTTTAGCTTTTGATCTGTGAGTACTTTGACAGAAATAAAGTATGCGTTGCGTAAGCATAATAATCAATTCTTTTTTCCAACAAGTAAATAAGTTGATACAAGCCCTTTACCTTTTACTGGTATTGTTCCGCGTTTTTCAAATGTATAAAAATGTTCTAGTTTTTTCATGCATTCTTCGGAAACTTGAATTTTATCAACTACTCCAGTCGAATCCATCCTACTGGCTAAATTAACAGTATCTCCCCATATATCATACTGAGGTTTAAGAGTTCCCATAACCCCGGCAGTAACAGGACCAGCATTAAACCCGCAACGTAATTTAAAAACAAATCCTAACATATTTGCATTAAATTCATCAAGAGATTTTTGCATTACGATTGCAAAATCAACTAAAGATTTTAGGTGTGAATGCGTATGATGAAGGTCAACCGTGTCTACTTTGTTTGTTTGATTCAACCCTGAGGCAGCCATGAAAGTTGTTCCGTAAACTGTTTTAATTTTTTCAATATCATCGGATTTCATTAACTCGTTATCGAAATCCGCAACAAGCTCGTGTAATATACGGATGCACTCGAGACCACCTTCAAAACTTTCTTCATAAAACCCGCCAAAGTTATCAATTGTCGCAAAGAGAACTCCAACCATATCATAGTTTTTTGAAACGTTTTTTGTATATTTTAATTGTTTAGAAACATGTCGAGGAAACATGTCGTTCACAAGCCATTCTGCAACGTGCTTCTGTTCTAACGCAATATTATTTTGTTCTGCAGCTTCTTTATCCCCATAAAAGTTTGCTCTGACTCCTTGTTCATGAATGCGATTTAGAACTGTTATAAGGATTATTTGAACAATAACCACTACAACAATATCTGTTATAACAAGTTTTTCTAGTTCATTTTTTCGGACCATGCAGTTTGATGAAGGATAGAGCAAAAGGAGAAGAATAAATGAAATTGCCCATGCATATGCAATGCCCGACTTCATTAACGATGACAGTTGAGTAAAACTACAAAAGTGTAAAAAACAAACGAACATTAACATTGAAAAAAGGTCAACTTTATTCTTTTCCCAGTGATTTTTTGTGCAGTCTTGGTAAGTAGAAAACACAACAACACCTGGAAAACACATTATGATACCTCCTAACAGGTGAGATGTAACCCACGGTGAAACTATTTTATTTTTTAACAACTTATAGTAATTTGTTACGCAATTTGATATGGTTTGCTCATCAGGTGCTTTTTTATTATCTGATGCTTTTTGACAATCAGATTGGTGAAGCAGATGACTTTCCTCCTTGGATTCTAAATACAAAGCTAAATTATGAAATTTTTTTGTTATAAAGACATTATACCTGAGCAAAATTATTCATACTTATATAACTGATACTTAATAAAAAACAAGTAATACAAAATTAAAAAGTAACAAATGCAGGAGGTATCAACTGATAGTGTCAGTGTATTTTTAATTTTTTTAATTTTTTAGAATAACCATCACTGTAAAATCATGCAAATGTTGCAGAAAATATTTATATTATAGAGGTGATTAAGTGCATTAAAACGGAATAATTGGAATATATAAATTTGTTTTAGCAAGATTAATATTGTAGCATTAATACTGAATCTTTCAGGGAATTATTACCCTTCATTAAATCTTTTAGAACATTTTATTAAATCCATGCATTCAAATCAATAACTGTTTATAAAGTTTTCCATACTTGACACCTCCTGGATCTGCAAATTGAAAATTGCATAAAACACATAAACATATTAAATCATTTTTTTATATTTATTTACATGTGTGTATATATATATATATATATATATATATATATATATATATATATATATATATATATATATATATATATATATATATATATATATATATATATATATATATATATGTATGTATGTATGTATGTATGTATGTATGTATGTATGTATGTATGTATGTATGTATGTATGTATGTATGTATGTATGTATGTATGTATGTATGTATGTATGTATGTATGTATTTATATATATATATATGTATGTATGTATGTATTTATATATATATACATATGTATGTATGTATTTATATATATATACATATGTATGTATGTATGTATTTATATATATACATATGTATATATATATATATATATATATATATATATATATATATATATATATATATATATATATATATATATATATATATATATATATATATATATAACAATACAGCATATATATATAGATATCTATATTTATGTAAATACTGTTGTTATATTTATTCTTACCAGTTTGAGCTTTCAAGTCTCCAATTTTTTGTGGCATAAGTTTTGATGTTTGATAAAAAAGAATTAGAAACATGCACAATAAACAGACAGAAATACAAGCGACAAGGCTGTTTGGCATATTTGCAAAAAACAATAGTATTGTTGCTATGACGATTCCAATTAAGTTAAAGGCGTTTGTAATAATGTCAAAAATATAATTTACATTTGGCGAGGCAAATGTTAAAACTTTAGGGTTAAGCTTGAAATGTTTAAAACCTTCCTCTCTAAACATTTTTTCCATCTTGTTTTCTTCTTTAATTTTTTTTGGCAGTCCTTCTACTTCATTTTCTACATCTTTCTCGTCCGGTACATCTATGAATGTTAGCGTCCACCATCGTAAAAGTGGTTTGAAAAAATACTCTTTCTGTTTTTTTTTTTCGCGAATAAGTTTGACGAGCTGATTGTCATCGGAAGCTCTCATAGTTTCTCTGAGGCAACTTTCTGTAACTGCCATACCGTAGGTTACGTCAAACGTGTTGTCAAACTGTTGGCGCTGAAACAAAGTTTCAGTATTGCTCTGGATACATTTATTTTCACCTCTGTTATTTGAGGTTGAGGAGCGAATAGTAACCTCTATACCATCATGATTTGTTTCGCAATGACTTTCGTGCAAAGTTTCTATAACTCCGTTCACTTCCTTTTTTTTCTTGGTAAAGTTTGAAAACTCGTAATCGTTTTGAGCAATACTATCTGTATGTGTTCTTAATGCATAATCATCATTCAGCCATGGTTTATATGAATCTAAACCATTTTTGCGACTTAAAATAAAGTAAGATTTGAAAAAGACATTGGAGTAAGTAATTCCAAGTCCTTCTTCTACAAAATATTGATCATTAAGAGACTCGAGTGTTTTAATTGTAAAATGTACTCTACCGGGTTGGCCTAAAAAAAAAAAAAAATAAGTAGTTAGAAATATAAAAAATAAAAAAAATCATTAATAATATATAGAATAATGCTGTATATTTCGATGATAAATCTAATCATGCGTGCGCATGATTACATTTATTTAATAAAAAATATTTTTCAAAAATATTTTAACTAGGTAGTCAAATGAAGCAAAATTATATAATAATTTCAAAAATAATATTCATTTCGAAAAAACTTTAACTTATTTATCAAAATTATCATAAAAAACATAAAAAATACATTTTTTTCATTTTTTGTAAAAAAACGCAATTTTTTATGTAATAAAAAAATATAAAAAAAACAAAAAAATTTTTTTTTTCGAAATAAATATTATTTTTGAAATTTTTATATAATTTCGCTTCATTTGAGTACCAGGTTGACATATTTAAAAAAACTTTTTTTTTTGAAAATAATAGGGACCCATTAAATATTTGAGGGTCTTAGGGGACTCTTTAAAATATTTTTTATTCAAAAAAAATTAAACCTAGTGTTTTTGTATTAGATAGAACACATTTAGGAGGTGGAAGCAGATTATTTTCAAAAATATTGTTTTCGGGACACCTTAATATATATATATATATATATATATATATATATATATATATATATATTGCAAAACTGGATGTCATGGAACAATGATATTTTATCAGTGTGTTTGTTTTACCATAATGCTTAATTACCTGCATGACTTGCATGTAGAAAAATATTTGATAAAAATTAAGATTTAATATTGATAAATTTATCATCTGGTCTTATAATTAGGACAAAACGGCTTATTATGCGTATTCTGTCTCTAACATTATTAAATTTTAAAGTTTCGCAAAATAAACACGCTTTGCAAAAAACTATCCAATTTATGATAGTTAATATGAACACGTTTCCGCAACAAAAAAAACCCATCCAATTAATGAAGCTTAAAAAAAATTTGGTTAAAAGTTATTTGCAATAATCTTACCCATAATACATTTTAAGCGTAAAAAAAGCGTTTGAGTACTCTAACAGTTTTTAAAAAAACCAATTACTAAAAAAAGTTTAAAAAAAAACCAAGTTTAAAAAACCCATTTAAAAAACCAATCTAAAGTATAAGCTAAATATAAAGTTTTGTTTCAAACTTTTCTTATTTTTTTTTTTGTTGAGACGTTATTGAAAAAGCCATTTTGGTCCGCCTATATATTATATATATTATTATCCATATATAATATATCATATATATACCATATATCATATATATACCATATATAATATATATATCCTATATATTATATATATTATTATTATATATATATATATTATCCGCCTATATATTATTATTATTTAAACCTTTTGACTCCATCTTATTTGCAAGATTGACGTCGTTTGACCAAACATCAAATCTTCTTCTTCTATTACCAACAATACCACATAGTACATTTCCAGTATGGATTCCTACACGCATATCAACTTCTTCTCCAGTTTTTTTTCTAAAACTTTTTATTTCTTCAACAATATCTAAACCCATTTCAATACAAGAAATGGCATGATACACGGATTCTTCTGGACATCCAGCAACACAATAATAACAATCGCCAAGTGTGCTGATTTTTTCACAGTTGTTAATTTTTGTTAATTCGTCAAATTTTCCAAAAAGCATATTCAGTAAATAAACTAAATCATCGGCTTTTTTGTTTGCTGACATGTTTGTAAAGCCGACTATATCTGCAAACAGAATGCTTACGTTTTCCATCTTGTCCATAGTAAAAGGTCTAAACGATTTAAACTGGGGGTTTTTTTGTTTCGATAAGTCAACTTGCTGTTCAAGTTGTTGATCTTTTAATCCATTTTTTATTAGAAACTCAGCAACTTTTTTTGGCATAACAGATCTTATCATACGATTTTTTATTCTTTGATCAATTTCTAAATCATTTTTTGCAACTATACTCTGACAAATGCGCCAAAATGTGCTCCGTTTTCTGACACATGCCATAAAAACGGTTGTGTAACCAATAACATGAACACAAAAGTGTAACAACACACTACTTATTGTAACATATGGATCTCTTGGTAGTTTTGTTGTGAGCGATAAAACAGTCTCATGGGTTATTGAAAAAACTATCGCTAATGTCATATTTACATATAGAGGTAGTACTGGCATCATTGTATATATAACTATTATCATGCACGTTGCCAATCCAAATCGTGCACCATAAGAAAACTCTTCTTCTTTTATGAAGAAAAACGAAAGTATATCAGCGCCACAGTACAAGACCGTTACTATAATAGACAAAAATGCTTTAGCTATTTTTGGCTCTTGTTGATGACGCAGAAAATGTGTCACTATATATAAAAGTGCTGCTATAATTGTTGCGGTACCACAACTGACAGATATAAGTATATGAGATTGAGCAGTTGTATGACTGACTGCAAACAATATTGTCAGTAAAAGAGATGTAAATGCAATATAAATCAGTCCCATTTCTGACAAACTTTTGTCTAATGACATGCTAAGATTTTTAAATTCCGTCTCTAAAACCTCCGAGTCAAAACATGGGTTAAAAATATTAGAGGAAGCTCTTTCAAAGAAAAGAGGCAATAATCTTTTAGGAGAACTTTTGTTTTCTTCCCTACACGACTTTAACTTCTCCTTACTATTGTGATGCTCCATCAGCGGTATATTTACGAGACATTGAGATGTATCTTCGTACTGCAAACAATCAATGCATTCGTTTGTCGACTCGTTAGCATTCATTTTTTTATATCTACTCTAAAAAAAATAATGAAAAAATTTTGATAAGAAGTTCATAAGGTTACATCAAAGGATTATTGCTTAACGCAATGAAGAAAAAAAGAGGTAAATATTGAAATAGCACGAGTTTAAAAAAAATAAATAATTTAATAGGAAAATTATCAACAACAAAAAATCGAAAAACTTAATTATATCGAAAATAAATAACACACAATAAATATCTTAAAAAAAAAAAGTTTACAAAGGCTAATTCAATTTTTTTCAGATAAAATCAGAAAAAAAGATTATAGCCTTCAAAAATTCTTATTGTTAATAACAAAAAGTATTTTTATTATAATAATAAATAATTATCATAATCAAATTAAAATCGCAGTAATAAAAAAAAAAGTTTACTGATATTGACCTGGCTATTTATGATAGAAAAAACTTGAATAAGTTTTTAAAACAATATTTGCGTTACAATAAAAGTAACATAAAAAAATAACACAATCCACCGCTGATTTAAAAAAATTTTTTTTTAAGAACATTTCTAAAAAAATATGAGTAAATAAATATTTATCCTTTATTTTTGAGATGAATATTTTATTTATTTGCAAAATCTTTTGTAGTAACTATTAGATATGAATTTTCTTTTCAGTTTAAGTGAACAAACGTAATCCAAATTAATGATGTCCAAAATTCAAAAATTATATTTTATAAAAATCCAAACTAGTTATCCAGGATTTGATTTTGAGTTTAAGCCAATTGAGGTGACAGCAATAAAGTAAGCAGCAGTTATAAGAGTTCCATATGGCGACTTCTCTGTTTAAAAACAATACTTTTTATAAAAAAATAACTTTATTTGACATCTGCTTATCAAATCTGATAATTTTAGACCAATACGACATAAATAGTTACAGAGATAGCAATACAAATATAAAAAGTAACATAACTGTACTCCATGGAACTTTTTTTTTTTAAGTAAACATTAGCTCAACTATATAATAAAACATCTACAGAAGCTTTTAACACTTATATAACAATAAAACTGAAACAAGTTTATTGCTGTTTACATGAATGTTTTACTATTTACTGATTTATACGCAAATTAGACAAATACTGAAAGGAAGGAATATTGAATAATTGCACATCCGTTGCACATCCGTTGCACATCCGTTGCACATCCGTTGCACATCCGTTTATATCAAATAGTCTGATTGAAAGGAGATATTTTCTCAAGTTAAAAATGATTTTAATCATATATTTAGTAAAATGATAAAAACCTATTTATTCTTCACTAAATTATTTTTTACCAAAAAGTTTCATTTTCAAAACATTTTATGCATAGTTTTTAATATTATTTTTATTTTTAGTTTTGTGTGTTTACAAATGTCGCAAGTTATATGAACAAATTTTTACATTTAGCAAAAAGAACCCTCTACCAATTTACTTTCTGCTCTTATAATAAGACACTTAGTTCTCACTTCTAAGTGGCTGTCGAAAAAAAAAATAGTGGGCGTCCTTGAGCATTATTTATAACAGTGTCAGCTTGAAAATTTTTTTTAGATACTGGTGTCTTACTTCGGAACTTTGGTAGGTAGGCACACTCATTAATGGCTTTATAATTTGATCTTCACTCAACCCCAGCAAACATTCGGTCTAAAAAAGACGCCTTTTGGGCGTATAAAAAACGTCTATTACGTTTAAAAGCTGTATTAAAAACGTCTTTCTTAGACCAAATGTTTGTTAGGACCTCAGCATTTGTGATTTATTAAAGTTGTTGAAAACAATTTAATAACATCTGAAAACATTGAAGTTTTGAAAATGTATACTTTTGTATGTAACTTGGGTTTCGAATTTTATAATTTCTAGAGAACTGGAATTTTTTTAAATATCCTAAAATTTATTTTCGTTTCATGTATTATGAATTTTAATAAAGAAGTATTGAACTATTTTTATAACGAAAAGCATGTCACTATGTATAGCAATTTTATGTATATATATATATATGTATGTATATATATATATATATATATATATATATATATATATATATATATATATATATATATATATATATATATATATATATATATATATATATATATATATATATATATATATATATATATATATATATATATATATATATATAATATATATATATATATATATCTATATCGCTCTATTTGAAATATATTTTTAATATTGAGCACTCGTTTACGACAATGAGTTTTGTTTTATTATTATAATGCAAAGCAGCCTTAAATATCAATATATATATATATATATATATATATATATATATATATATATATATATATATATATATATATATATATATATATATATATATATATATATATATATATATATATATATATATTGATAATTATATAACATAACGTATAAAGCAGTTCTATACATATATATATGTATAGAACATAACGTATAAAGCATTTCCCATCCAGATAGAACTCGATATGAATTTATAAAACAATTTTTAAATATACTTAAATACTGTTATATAAATTAAATTTTAAAATTATATATTAAAAATATTAGTAACAGTAACAACAAGATATATATTTTATTTGAAAAATAGAAAATATAACAATAATAAAAAAACGAACAAATAAAAAGTATATACATATATATTATTTTTTCTTTCTTTCATGTTTATTAAGGTGCTTCCACTGCGACGCGGCTGCCACACGACTTCTTTAATTATGACGTCAATTGAGCAGTTGTTTCATTAAATTGATTGTCATTAAGCACCAATAGTAATAATAATTAATATATAAATATTGTGGAGATAATTAAAAATATTGATAAACAAATTAAGGTTAGGCTATTGATAAAATTTTTGTTATCCAATCAGGAAAAGCAGAAATCAAAAGATAAAAATAAAAAAGTACTAAGAGTTCGTCCACAAATTGTGTCATGCAATGTGTCATGCAATTTTTGACACTTTCCCCTTCCCTTGCCACAACATCGTTACTCTTCATTGCAGTTATAGTTCCTAGAGCGTGATGTAATTTATGGACGATCCCTAATCAAAGTATACTAACCAAAAAACACTAATTAAAAGATATCAATCTAAAGTAATTATTCTATGGATGCCAATCAAATAATACGAATCAATGGGTACTAGCCAATAGATACCAATCAAAAGATACAAAAACCAATCCAAAGATACAAAATAACAGTTATAACTAAATAATGATTTAAAGGAATGCAAAATAGGATAATGAAGGAAACATAGTCTACAAACTACTAATAAGTCAAATTATATGCAAAAGTTATATATGAAAGAAGTTACACAAATCTTTAGAAATTTTACCATCAAAAATATTACCAACAAAAATCTTACAAAATTTTTATTACAAGAAATTTTAACACTGATAAATGCTTTGTTTCTTTATTTCTGGATCCATATGGCAGAGATAAAAAAAACTTTTAATAATTCAAAGTATGGATACGTATAGTGGCGTCGCAACACGCTTGGTGGCCTGTAGACAAAACTCATCTTTTTAAAAGTTTTCCTGCAATATCTGCAAACCCATTATAAGATAGGTGCGTATCAATTCTGATATAGTCTTGGTGGCCATCTGGACTTTGTCTACCTTGTCTACACTATTGCGACACCTTTGGAAACGAATGGAAAGTATGCAAAGCAACGTACATAGTTTAACAGTAAAAGTTTGAATAATTTGAAAATTCATCAATGCAAAAAATAAAAATTTAACTTTTAGGTTAAATGCTTTTTTAGGGTTTTGGTACCTTCAATCTAATTGAACCTCTAATTTTTGCTTTATTCCGGATTTTTTTCAGGTTACGAAGTTGTTGTCTATGGCAGTTTTGGTTAAGTTTCTCTACCTTCTTTTTGTCAGAAAGCTTAATATTAGCAATAAAAAATAATTTTGATGTTAATATAAACATTTCATGAAAAAATTTGCAATACCACGACAGTTAAGCTTTAAAACATTGCTTCTAGCATTGTGAAAATTTTTTAATGCTTCTAGCATTGTGAAGGTTTTTAATGCTTTTAGCATTGTGAAAGTTTTAAAATTTGGTATCACGGTGACCCTTTAGTTTTAAAACTTTTAAATTAAAGTGTCACGACTAGATGCCACAAAAAAAAGCAATAAAAAAAGTTTGAATCTCAATTGTTAGACATTTAAAACCACTATAGCATAGGTTTTAACAGGTGACCCCGGCATCACCAACTTCTTTTTCAGGTTTGCTATAATGTCAATTATCGACAGTCTTTTAATTTGGGAATTCAAAATCCCAGTCTTTGCAACAGGTCTTAAAAAGATCTGGGATTTATAGTCCAGCCTGGCATTTTTCTTGCGTGGGTATTTTTGTCTAGGAAAAATCTTTTAAACAAACAAGCAAATACAACTATTAACTATTATAAATTTACGCCAATAAAAAACTTGAAAAATATTATGGAAAAGTAAAATACTTATAAAAAGTTTCATTTTTATTATGACTAACTTTTTAAATTTTGGTTTGTGAGCTATTGTCAGTTTTAACAAATGGTTTGCAGCAATCCTGCAAAGTCTAAACCTCCATAAATGCTCTTTTATCTTTTTTTACCATGTACAGTATTGGACAAAACATTTGCAACCAACATCGAACAATCCTAAAAAGTGTTCCTGATTTTACATGTCTTAAAAACGAAACGAACTATACTACCACAGTAAACAGTTCAGGAGTCTGGAGTCATAGCATGTCATGACATGAGCAATTAGCTGACAGGTGACAGCACACAGTCACAATTTCATTGACAAGTGCCATTTTGCAGCGGACAAAACAAGTGCAACTTTTTTGGTTTGTTTCATTTTCTTAAGTCTGGTCCATCTCAACGTCACGGAAGTTTTTTAATAATTAAAGAAAGTATCCAGAAGTTTCCAGAAGCATGCAGAAGCTTCCAGAAGTTTCCAGAAGAAGCATCCAGAAGCATCAAGAAGCATCCAGAAGTATCCAGAAACATTAAGAAGCATCCAGACGCATCCGAAAGCTTCCAGAAG